CCGGGGCCCCTGCAGCGCCTTGCAGGCTAACCAGTAGAGAGAGTCGTATCACGGGGGGGCTGCACGCCCTGCTCGCTGCCTCACCAGCCCCTCTCTCCCGGGGGTCAGGCAACCCCGGCTCTCGTCCCAGCCACCAGCGAGGGCCAGTCTGTGGCCACATCACCCTGGGTCTTACTCCCTCCCCCACATCCTCAGCCAAACTCCCTGGGCCATGCCCGCCTAAGCCCTTTCTCTTATTTTGAGTCGTATCACGGGGGGGCTGCACGCCCTGCTCGCTGCCTCACCAGCCCCTCTCTCCCGGGGGTCAGGCAACCCCGGCTCTCGTCCCAGCCACCAGCGAGGGCCAGTCTGTGGCCACATCACCCTGGGTCTTACTCCCTCCCCCACATCCTCAGCCAAACTCCCTGGGCCATGCCCGCCTAAGCCCTTTCTCTTATTTTGTGCCTCCACCCCCACAGTTAAGGTGTCTGAACCTTAACCCCTGCCCTGGTGAGCCCCGTGCCCTCCCCCCGCTGCCGAGGGGAGAGGGGCGCTGCTCCTAGGTCCCACACAGCAGCCGAGCACTAGTGAAAGGGGAGGGAGGAGGCAGGCTGGATACATTGATATGATGTCACTCTGTTGTCCTGCAGGAAACATTTTTTACACACACAACCCATTTCTTCAGATGAGTGGAGCAAAAGGGATAGAGAGCAAACTTAACCCTTTTTATTTAAAATGCATCCTGTGCAGACTCACCTGTTCTACAGTAGTGATCTTAATACGAAAACATAACTAGACTGGCAAAATTAAAGAAAAATGATGGAGGCCAACTATTTTGTTGAGTATTTTATACAACTCTTGCTACTAAAATAAATGTGGCTTGCTGAATATTAAAAGAAGTTTGTGCCCCAAGTCACAAAGTCTTTTAGAGAGGCTATAAGATTTGCATGCTTTCCATGTACAGGAGTATACATGATACAATCTATCCCTTGACAAATATGATGTTTTAATATATTACCTGTTTTAAAATATTTGAGATGCTTGCTGTTACAGCAATGTTATTTAAACATTTTTTTAGAAAGTTCAATTAAAATACATGTCTACTGGCTTTAGGAATACATATTTTGGGAAGAAATGTGAAATCAAAGCATAGCGGAATCTTCTAACAACGTGGTAGTGCCAATGTGTAAAGTTATTTATCATGGTCTTTGTTTTTCTTTTTAAAAACTGCAATAGGAGGAGCTAAAGTCTCTTGAGCAAATGCATTTGTCCCTGAGAGCCCTCCATCAAATGGTTGCCTCCTGTAATGAGGTAAACTGAATGCATGTTTTCAAATTACTGTGAATATAAATTTTCTGTACCAGTTGAATGTAAGGCAGATTATTTTCACATTCTCCAAGCATTGTAGATTATGTTGCTATGAAGAGGTTGGGTGGGCTTTTTTTTCTCCTTCAGTGTAATAGTTGAATACATCCTCACTTCAGTATTTTAAGAGCCTCTTAGGAAAGGAGGAATCAGATGCTTAAGGCTCCTAAGACTTAAGTGGCAACTGACAAACTAATGATTATCAATTTAAGGATATATGAACATAACAGTTATAGTAATGACATTTTAGCAATACAGTGTTTCCAAGTATATAATTATTCTTGGTGATTATCTGCAGTGGGGGACTGGCAGCATATAAATCCATTTAATTGCCTCAGGCATTTAGTGATATACTAGAGTACAAACAAGTTTGAAACATGAGAACAGTGCTGGTTCATGAGTTACCCACACCAATCTTTTAATCACTGGAACCCTCCATCTGAATCCAATATTTAGGTTCTACTTCATCTCTAAATAATAAAAAAACAGAATTTTTCTACACATCCCAACACTAGCTATACAACAGATTCCCAACTGTTTAAAAATAATCTTAGCACTCAGCCAGCTGTAACTTACCTAAATATATACAATAATTGCTCTCGCTTTGCACCTCTTCTCAGAAGCATACCTCAGCCCTCTCCACACAGTTTATTGAACCTATTCCTCTTGCAGCTTTGAACTTACATTCAGGCTAAAGGGGCAAGTTCCAGAGTCCTGTATATCAGTTTTTTCGAACCTTCTTTTTTATATCACAGACTATATCACTACCCATTCACAAACTTCTGGTAGACTGGTAACATTTTATTTGCATGTTCATTATGCACATGAATATGCAGATACGCAAATAAGATGTTACCAGTCCACCACAGGCCTCCAGAGGTGTTGCACAGCAGCCAGCTTCAGCTCCCCCAGCCGCCTGCCATGTGGTGGCTGCTAGAGCTGAAGCTGGCTGATGTGTAGTGCTCGAGGGGCTTGTGTGTGGTTTGTTGGTTTGTTTTAAAAACCCTTATAGCTTACTCCTAATGTTCTCCTCAAGCATTTAAGATGAAATGTGTCTAACTTCTGAGCATTTATTTTAAGTTGCCAGATTTCAGTGCCATAAGTTGCTATGGCTACCATAATGGCTGAACAGATGCTTGATTTTGTATGTAAGGATGTAAGAGGTTAGCAGGTAGTTTGTCTGCTGACAAGGTAACTGTTTGATTGGCCTGGCTGACTGGCCCTTTTCTACTGGCACAGTGGGCCCTGCTGCGGCACAGATGGAGCTAGGACTGTGGCAGCCACAGCAGGGCTGGAGCAGTCCCTAATGCCTGCAGGTGAGGCAGGGCCAGGGCAGGAGGAACTCCACCAGGCTGTGACCCATTGTGTTGCAGACCGGGGGTTGCTCCAGGGCTAGCCAGTTAAACCTTGAGTTCAGCTGGTTAACATTTAAAATGTTAATTAACATCCCCTAGTAAGGATATGTTTCCAAATGTTACTTAATTTACAGAAGGCTATGTTCATTTTGCAAATATTTTTTCTTATATCCTCAGGGCATGTACTGTAGCTTGGCTTATTGTCCTTCTAAGATATTTGAACCTATCTACTCTCTCCAGCTGCTCATTGATTTTGATGTTTAAATCAGTATCTCTAATTACCATGGCCTTACATTTCTTTACATTGAATTAGTCCTACCTTCTCCCATCTTTTCTTGAACTTTATTGTGCATGTTACAAGTTCTTCAGCATTTTCATATAGAAGAGCAATATCCGTGAAATCTAGATTAAATATTCGCAAGTGATTCCACCTTAATTCATATTGATTATATTCTTAGATCACTTGAGGCCATAATCAATGACTATGGAATGAATAGCAATAGGATACACCCTTGATCGTATCCCTCTTCATTTCAAATTGTTTAGTTAATCTTCTATCCATTTTAATACTTTAGAGTTAGTATAAAATGCCTTCATTATTTTCCACATTGTATCCCTATTTACACTGTCTGCTCTTTAATATTAATATTAAAGTGAATATGGAGTTGCTTGAAATTAATTCACATTTTCAGTAACCCTCAGGAGACCGTTATCTGTGCATGAATGATCTCGCCTAAAACAGACTCATTCTTGTGAAAAATAGTATCCATTTTTCCTTTCTTCCTGTAACACAATCCTAGCTAAGACTTTTTCTGTCACAGGAGAATATCATTCCTCTCCAGTTGGAGCATTTACTTACGTCTCCCATTTTTGGAAGCTTGATGGTAGTACCAAGTGTCCATTCTTCTGGAACTCTCTTCTCATAATGAACGTACTTATGTTGCCAATTCTTCATTTCAGGGTGAAGGCCATCCGCACTTAGTGCCTTATTTTTTAGCTTGTGTAAAGCTTCCAAAACCTTATCAACTGTGATTTGAGATGCATCAGTGTCTAACTTTGGCAATAGGACTAGTTGTTTCTGGCAGTTCCTTTTTGTTGATCTCAAGCTAAGGTTGCTGGGTCAGAAGGGCTGAACACTTCAGAGAAGCGCTTAACCAATCTGTGTTCTCATTTTCTTGAGTCTTTAAGAGTTTGACCAAATTTCCTTTCACTGGGACTCTAGTACAGCTAAACCCATACTTTGCTAGCTGTTTCAAGGCAGTATAGGCAGTTTTAATGTTGTTTGTTCTGCATCTTCAGCTTTCTTAGCATTGCTTTCTAATTGTGTGTTCTTTTTACAGCATCTCTTTAGTCAGGGTTTCTGTAGATTCACTTTGTTTCCTCATCTTTATTTTGAAGCATGTTAGTTTTCTGTTTCTTCTCTATACATATAAAAAATTTCCTGTGGAGGACCGTGACATTACATCATCTGTGTCCTCATGCCACCGCCTTCCTCTGTTCTCAGGTGCTAGCTGTAGCCAGCCTTTTCACCATTCCCTCTGGGCATGGGCTGTTCTAGCTCTGGGAGGAGCTGTTGGGACTGGGTCCCCTCAGACAGCCAAGTCCCAGTCCCCCGCCTCCGGGCTGTGCCATGTCCCCTCTGCCATCTGAGCCTGACTTTCCCCCACACTTCCCCTCACTCTCTGCCGAGACCCCGCATACCCAGACCACTCCTACCCGCTTCCCTCTGGCAAGACTCCTACCCTGTGCCTGCTCCTGCCCCCTCCTCTGCTCTTGCACCCTCTCCCCTGCTCCCCCAGTCAGACTCCAGCCCCCTCCCACCTGGCCAGATGCCTACCTCCAGAGAGAAGGGGATTGACGAGCAGGAGGTGCAGCCCCCTAGTCTGCTCTGATCAATAAGTTCCTATGTTTGTACTGAAATTCATTGTTCTGACAGTCCCTCTTTTTCTACCAATCGTCATTTTTTCCTGCTTCAATGGCAGCTGTTTTAAAATGGGCCCAACATTTCTCTACGTCATTTGCTTCATAGTCTCTGAAAGCCTCAAATCTGTGCTTAAGCTCAATATGATATGCATTCTGTGGTATGGAATCTTGCAACTTTGTCAAGTGGCTTGAGTGTTTCAACTTTCTTTTCCAGCTTTTTAAGCTTCAATCTAATGTTTGCCTACAGTAAACAGTGGTCACTACCTGTGTCTGCTCCTCTTAAAAAAAAAAAAAACCTCTAGCATCTATCCCAGAAAGAGCATTTCAATGCAATTATGATAAGTGATGCAAGCCCTTGGGAAGGTGACTGTCTAAAGTTCCAAATTCTGACTACCAAATCTAATACTTCCATAGCCCTCCAGAACATATGAACTTTGAATAGTACCAGAAAGCTAGCACAGGCAACCAGTAAAATGATTTAAGTATAAAATTGATATCTTCAGGCTATGCGAGGTTCAATGGAAACATCAAGGCTTATTAATATATCGGAAGGTATGATTGTTGTGTGCGGGTTTTTTTTTTTTTTAACAGACCATCAATTCTCTCGTCCAGAACAACCACACATTAACAGGTTAGTAATATGCTACTGGGATTTCTGTACAATGTACTTAGAGGATTACTCTTCTAAACTAGGAATTCCTTTAAAAGGTTAGCATATGTCTGTGTTGTAATTAAAGCTGGGACACCAAGTCTTACAGCCCCACTCAGATCAGACTCAGGGATAGGGTAGGGTGGAGTGGCCAGGCCATGGGGCTAAAAGTAGTGCTGTCAATATTCCAGTTTGGACTGGCATCTGGGTTATGAAACCTTCAACCTGGTGCCAAACTCTCAATTCTAACATTTAATTATTTGGACTTGAATAAAAAAAAATCTCCTTATAGGAATCTGATTTTGTTCTGGAAAATTGAAATTACTTACGTAGATTACCACTTACTTTTCTTAAGGAGAGACTTATGTAGAACTTCAAAAGTAATAGTAATCCTCACTTGACAGTTAGTCATCTAATTCCTTCTACTATGTGACTTGCACCATACTGCAGTAAAGTCTTAAGCATTTCTGCATAATCCGTATTAGTGCCCTATGTTAATGCAGACTGGTAAGTCTAAACAGAGCAACACATTAACAGTCCTTGTATAACTCTTGAACTTTAACAAATTAATGGTTCACTTGTTAGTAGCTAAGCATAAAAAGAGAGCATTGTTTTTAAAGTCTTATCTTTGTTCTATATTAAGCACAGTGACACCACTAGAACTACAGGTTGAACCTCTGTTGGCTGTGACACTCTGGTCTGGCAACATCTGTGGTCCAGCAGGATCATGGATGTTGCTGGACTAGAGAGTCCCAGCCACAGAGGTTGCCAGCAGCTTGGAGCTCTGCTGGTCTGTCAGCATGAAGCCTTCAGGTGCAATAGGCTGGGAGCCAGCCAGGTGGTGAGGCCTATAGGCCCTGAATGCAGCAGTTCTAGCCTGCAGTGACGAGCCCCAGCAGCTGGGATGGAGCTCTGCTGGTTGGGGCTGGCTGCCAAGGGTATGTAGCCTACACTGTCTGGAAGCAGAGAGCACCTGCAGCCAGGAACAGATTTCTGCTGGCTGGGGGCACAGAACTGCTGCTGGCTGAGGACAGGAAGCCCCGGTGATCTGAGTGGGGCTGCAGCCCTGAGTGGAGCTCTGCAACAGCCTGAGGCCTGACCTCCCTTGATCCGGCAA